TATTTGCAGCGCTGATAAGGAGCGGACCGGGGTTGCACAGGTATGCGCGGAGATCACCAAACAAGCACACAGAGAACGCTTTAAGCGTCTCCACACGATCACCACTCCACGACTCCTCGCATCCCGTTTCAACCCTCTTTTATGTACAAACATGGCCACATTTGTCCAATGAGAAGGCGTGGGAAATCAATTCACTTAAAAAACGAACAACATTCTTCCTGCATAACTGAGAAGATAAAAACTGCTATGTTTGTCAAATAATTTGACAATACAATGTGGTCAAAGGAGGAGTTGCTCGCACAGGATCACTGCCAACGTCACTCATTCACTTACTTATTAAGGGTCCAACGGAGGTTTCCCGCGTTATCTTTATAGCCTCGTATCGTTTCCGAGACACCTCGTAAAGTGCTATAAATGTCGCCGCCTTCGATTGGCCCCGTCCCCCGTTCTCCCCACCGTCCCTCATTGTGCAAGCCTTGTGACCGACCCATTCTAAATTTGGATAAATGTCGCATACACCTGCTTCTACTAGCGGTTATCCGAGTGTCACACAAATGTGCTTGACACTTTTACCTTCAATATTGATGAACCCAGATAGATCGAGAGGATATCTAACTATATAAATGGTTGATGGATTTGAGAAATGTGAGGGTATATATATCAAGTTGGCCAGAATTTTGTCAAGAAAAACGAGCTGACTTTAGAACGACAATAAATATCTCGTTCTAAATTTAGAGAAATATCAGAAACCTTCTTGTTGTATTCGTTTTTCAGGGTTTCATACACACGTGGTTAACTTGACACTTTTACTTTGAATACATAAAAGAAATTTCGAGGATGTTAACTTTCAAATGGTGAATTTTTAAAATATGCTTGTGTTGATTAATCAAATCGATCCGAATATTGTCGAAACCACGAACCAGGCGGCAAGAAAATACGCAAATTCACATGTCTCTATAATACACATAGCGGATAGAATTGCTTTTAATGGGGTGAATTAAATTGTTGTGATCCATCGGGTTGTGTCAGTAACACACAAGCTCTTCAACTTAATTCTTAATTAATTCTTAAAGACTGATAACATAATTGTAAACTATAACTTGTTTTAAAATATAAGTCTTTGTGAAATATATTCCGTAAACACACACTATTCACAAATATATATTATCGATATAGATATTTTCAAATAAAATTTTCTATAAATGAACGTTTGCCAAAGTCTCAAAATGTTTCAGTATTATTTTTCAAAAAGCAATAAAATAACTCTGGAATGGCAGACGTAAAGCAATATGATAGCGGGGACCATCGATCAAACGCCGAGAAGCTGTTGGCTCGATTCCGGCTTTGTTTTTGAGGCGCCAGGACATTCCATAACATTGTTTGCTTTGACTTCATTCGAGGAATCAATACGCCAATCTCTACAAATTATCATTATTGTTAATTCATTACATTCTAATATATTGATTCATGTCGATATTTGATATGAAATATGTTCCATTAAATATTGTAACAAAGTATTTATTATTTTATTAGCATAGTATTATTTTTAGGTTTATATTTACTATACTCTGTATACTTCCCTCTTTTGCTTATCTTTTGTTTATCATTCATAGTTTATTCTTGCCTGAAATAAATTGTTGTCTCATCCCGAAGTTGGTCTTTCCTAATTTTCCACGTGGCAATATCAAAGTTTACAGACGGAAAACAATATACACAAGTCATAAACAAGTCATCTATATTTGCATTTATGAAAATTTTAGGGTTAATTTTTAGATGACTTTCTACTGTTCATATTGTTATGGAACAATATTGGGAGAGTACACCCGGCGGAGGAAGGGCATTACTTATCGCAAGTATGTACACTAATGGACAAAAGGAAGTTTCATATTTTAAGCATCAACCACTTCTTATTTGCATATATAACCGTTAATATTCCATACATGTAAATTTGAGTGCTCTCCTTAAAAAAAAATATTAATAAATATATAATAATAAATATAAATAAATAAATATATATGTAACGTTTCTATGATGATCTGTACACGCCAATATGCAGATGATATTGTTTTGAGTAAAGAAAAGAGAACAATCAACCGTCTGACTAACTAACTTTATTTCAATCACGCGCCTTTTATTTATAGTTAAAAATATTTACATAATTCCTGACAGCGTAAAAAAAAAATGTTGCCAACGATAATATTTATATGAAAGTATTAAAATATTCACAAGACATTGAATACAGTAGATTTAGATAAACATTTATATACATCAGATAGAAGAAAAAAAGAAAAGTATTAACTGATTTGTGTAGCAATTTTAGAATATATTTACAGAATAGTGCTAAACTCTTTGTGTAGGAATCTTTGCTGGATATATGAGTCTACTAAGATCCTATTATCCCATTTAGAAATTTGTAATCTTAAAATATTGGAAAATCCAGCAACAGATGTCTTGAAGTTTGTGTGGTGATCAGAGCCACGTAAACATCTCGAATCCTTCACTAATTGAATTCGTTTCACAAAGCTCAATTTGTGTAATTATCAATCTATTAATATCTTTATTAAGATACAGCAATTCTTGGAAAAGAGATGAAAAAAGAAATGAGAAAAAATGATTTTATATGGGAAATAGGTCGATCTATAGAGCAATAGTTACTTTAATATACATTCATGAACAAAACTTAAATGAAGTTGTAGCTATTAGCATATATATCGGCATACAGTCAATAACTCTGAAAGATATTTGATACACACTTATTGAAAGCACACGAGATAACCAAGTGTGAACAAAATTGCCTAGGTCTCCTTCAAAAAAAATAGATAAACTGCGACATCTAAGACATTATACTTCCTTAAGTTTTGTCTATGAGTGTAATATTTTTACATAGAAAGAGAGATGTTTAAGGCTGTTCTTCTATTTATTTACAGATTCCCGTGAGTCATGGGAAAGAGTTTTTACATACTAATGGCTAATTAATTTTAATGGCGACAAAGTGGACAAAAAACAAGATAAGGGAGAACATCCGGTTAGCTGGCTGTCTGCGATGCCACCTGCACCAAACGCCATTATTTATGTACACTCCGGGTTATAATATATTGGAAAGAAAAGGAGAAAAAATAATGGAAGGGGAGTTGGGAATTGTTAAGATAAATTGAGACACACGCAATAGTGTCAATAGAATTTCTATTATGTAAATTTTCCATTGAAGCCATGTGATGTTTAGAGAAAATATTGTGAATTACTGACCGGATAAATGGGATCGCTAGGGATGTTTTGGCCCCGGCAGGCGTTCCCGAGGGTGGGAGGTCACAATAGCCCGACCTGGACACACGTGTGCATTTTCTGCCATTGTCCTGAATCATCGTCACATAGGTTTCCCAGAGATAATATTGTTCGTCTTATCACACTATATTGCACATTCTCAATAATATACTATCATTACAAAATATATAAAGCTTCCAGGGCTAAGTTTCTTTTACAACTTTTATTTTCAAGCTTTCGGACTTGTCAGTCCTTCAACAGGACTATCACTTTAACAAATTAATAATAAATACTATTTTTATATACATGTTATTATTTACATATTTTAAATACTCATATAATATATTACATTTTTAAATATTATATTACATTTATTACATTAATTATATTACATTTAAAAATATATTACATTATTTCTGTGTAAAAACAACTTTTGAAAATATACGTGCGTGGTGGATGATACGTGCTGGTTGAACGATATCTCGAGGTTCCAAATTAAATTTAATAAATCCGTGAACTATTGTGTTATATATAGAAGAGTGCCTACATCTATGGGATAGTATTTGACCATATTGTTTCGTATGTTTCTGATATTTCAATGCATCTGTTTATACTTTTTTGCTGTTTGGTTATCATAGATTCTGTTAAAAGTCTTTGGTATTTACTATGGATATTGTCATAATACGCTATCGGTTGAGATGAGTTAAATGTATGACCTGTTTCTTTTATGTGTTGAACTATTGAAGATCTTGGATCGCTATTGTTATACTATCAGACTATATATACTATCACATATATTGTAAAAATATTTATTAATTTTATTATTTTTATTAACAGAGTGGTCATTTTTTTATGTTTATATTTTGCTACTCTGTAAATTTCCCTCGTGGCTTATCTTTTGTTTACCATTCATAGTCTGTCCTTGCCTGAAATAAATTGTTGTCTCATCCCGAAGTTTGTCTTCCCTAATTTTCCACGTGGCATTTTGGTGGAGATGCTGGGTAAGTTAGGGAAGACAAACTGAAGACCGCCGAGAAGACCTTGAAGCCATGGGTGCTGTGATCTACATTTTCGGAGACTGACTCCAGGATTCCACCGCCGTGCTAAAGCCAAGACTTCCCTCCAAGATGACGATGTCCCTATAGACGATACGGCGACAAAGCCGCTCTTCACGCCGCAAGAAAAAGGACGCAAAGGTACTAGGGACAAAGTTCCAAGACTTCGATGGAATCCTTGGCAGAAGCACGTCAGATTCATGTCAGTATCTACAATAATTGCTATCTGTGGGTCACAGGTCCCATAGGGAAGAAGCTATGTAACAAAGTATTTATTAATTTTATTATTTTTATTAACAGGATGGTCATTTTTATGTTTATATTTTGCTACTCTGTAAATTTCCCTCGAAGCTTATCTTTTGTTTACCATTCATAGTTTGTTCTTGCCTGAAATAAATTGTTGTCTCATCTCGAAGTTTGTCTTCCCTAATTTTCCACGTGGCAATATATTTATAAAGTGTTACGCTATAGCGTTCTCACAATCGTAATATTTACAAATATATGATGAATGTAATATATTAAAGAATACTTTCAGGGCAAAGTTTCTTCAAGCTTTCGGAGACTTATCAGCCCGGGAGGATCACATTAACTAAACGCCAAAATTGATGCTTTGTTTTATTCATTTATAAATAAATGTGTTCACATTATTATTACATAGTTTATAAAACTATATGATATAAAAATGCCTGGTAGCCTTATGGACATGGCATCTGCCCGGTAAGCGGAACATTGTGGGTTCGATTCCCATCCCTGGACACTTTTATTTTTCCGTTCATCATTACTCTTCATAATTCACCCTTTCATACCTCATCCAAAAAGGTTAGAAATAGTCAATATTTTACCTTGAAATGAATTTTGATTTTTTCGTTGAAAAGAAACTCATGCGGTGTAACTTCAAGTGTTGTTTTACAATCACAAGCCGTAGTGTATTATATTATATATATGATATATTAAGAGAAATTTATTACAAAATTTATAAAATAATTTTCGAAAATATATATATACATCTTAGAAACGCGCAGGTTGGAAGATATCATCACGAGACATCAAAAACTAAATTTAATAAACTGTACTATTATGGTATAGAAGACTGTTTACATCTATAGGATAGTATTGACCATATTGTTTCGTATCATGACCTATCACCAATGATTCTAAGGCCACATACCTATCGTTTTTATGGTTTGTAGTTACGCGTTATTAACTATACATTTCTGTGGTTATGATTCATCTGCACTATAAATGTAATTGTAAATACATAATTATACGAAATTTAGAAACTATTTTAGACGCGTAAGATTCTTTTTGAAATTAAAAAATTTCTACTGCTCTTACTGCAATGGAAAAATTAATTTTTGGCAAATTCAAGACAAAAGTCAACCTGTATATTATGGTTTCGGTCAGATTTTATAACATCCTTGGTTGTAGTACATGATTTATTACACCAACATTACGTAGATACTCTGGTAATAAACATAATTCTTTATTTTAATGCATTTTGAAAGGAAGATGCGACTTTTTTGGTAGATGAATATAATTCTTCCCGCAACTTTATGTTATATATATAATTATTCAATCCAATATATGCCTTTTTACTATCTAATGATTTAAGTATGGATTGCTCTATTTTCAGAACAATATATATATATATATATGTTTTGAAAATAGAGCAATCCATAAATAAATCTTTAATATAAAAGACATATATTGGATCAAAATATCAATTATTTTACCAATATTTCAGTTGGCTGAACGCCAACCTTTATCAAGGTATTATAACATATTTGAAATATTGACACACATTAAAAATATGTTATAACACCTTGATAAAGGTTGGCGTTTAGCCAACTGAAATATTGGTAAAATAAATGATATTTTGATCCAATATATGCCTTTTTAATTAAAAAATATATTTATATATTTATGTGTGTGTGCGTGTGTGTGTGTGTTTGTGAATGCTTGCGTGTGTTTAATAGTTTCTAAATTTCATAACAGATGGCGCGCTAATGCATCATAATACATTTTATATCTTTATATATTAAACAGAGATGCCTTTTTCTAAAATTATACATCTTATCTCAATAAAATTTCACATTTTTTCACATATTTATCTCTATTTATTTAATTGGGAATAACAATAATTAATTAACCACCTAGAGAACTTGGTTGTTCAATTAACTTTCTGAAGTATTGTGAATTTTAAATGCAAAAGAATACATCGAAAAAATTTGTCAAGTAAAATTATATTCAAAATATATTTTTAGAAACAAATAAACTAAATTATTTAAAACCGTTATAATTTCCTATATTAGGCCGAAAAGTGTTTCTTAATTCTAAGAACTATGAATGCTGGCCATGCAACCTCTATTTTTATAATTTTTATTACCATCCATAAATTTATTTCAAATGTGAATTGAAAAATTGTGATGTTTTAATAAATTTTTAATTATCACACATCAAAGTTTATCTATAAATGGGAATCCTCCTTGTCTGGAGGAGGACTCTCTCAAGGTGGGGAAGTCTTCCTTGCTGAAGAAATTTGTACACATACACAACTATATATATTCCCCTACATTTTGTCTACTCTTTATTTACTATTTTATTATATATTTTTTCCACATTTGTAAAAATTGACTAGAAGAATCAATAAAATTGTTTAAATTGTCAAAAGATTTTGTCTATAAATGGGAAGATTTCCACGCAGAGTTTATGATGCAAGAGCAGTTGAACTTTAGTTGGCGGTGGAGAAATTTCATTAGTATCCGGTTACTTAGCGCCAAACTGAGCCATTTCCTTTCCATTTCTTGATTATACTAATTAAGTGAAGCACGTGGAAGCCAATAGAAAGGCCTTGCAGTTGTTTTCATTCGAGAATGCATACACATTCTATCAGAGAAGTCTATTTCAATCGTCAGATTGACTATATAACATTGTCATATACGTAAAAGAAAGAATATAATATACCAAGAGAGGGAAGCATACCTCTTGTTTAAAAAGTATTACAACAATACAAAATATATTGAGTAAAATGAATCATTCCTCCAGGGAAAAGTGCCTTTTCACAAACATTTTTATTGTTCTCTAGCTTTCGGGCACGTACGCCCTTCTACAGGAGAAAACATGGTATAATGATACGCCAATAGAACACGATTTAACATAATCGGATACTATTTTACATATTTTTATGAAGATATAAAAAGAAGACAAACAAATGAATAAATAAATATTGGCCACTAGACAATTTGTATAATATGTATTAGTTATATGTAATAGTTAATATGTAAAAAATAATATTTTTATATCTTCATAAAAATATGTAAAATAGTATCGGATTATATTTAACTCGTGTTCTATTGGCGTATGATTTCTTGCGCTCCAGGGGCCTGGGTTATCCTTATTTCTCTCTGGCGTATGATTATACCATGTTTTCTCCTGTAGAAGGGCGTACGTGCCCGAAAGCTAGAGAACAATAAAAATGTTTGTGAAAAGACACTTTTCCCTGGAGAATTGATTAATTTTACTCAATTATTATACAAGGGATTATTTTATAGAACATAATATATTGTTGAGAGGATAAATAATTAGCCACAACGCCAGTTTTGGCAAATTCAGACAAAGGTCAAACTGTACACCATGGTTTCGGTCAGATTTCATAACATCCTCGGTTGTAGTACATGGTTTATTAGACTAATATTACGTAGGTACTCTGGTAATAAACAGAATTCGTTATTTTAATGCATTTTGAAAGGAAGATGCGACTTTTTTGATAGATGTATAACATTCTTCCCGCAACTTTATGTTATATATATTATATAATTATTCAATCCAATATATGCCTTTTTACTATCTAATGATTTAAGTATGGAATGCTCTTTTTTCAGAACTATATACAATGTTATATAAAAATGAATAGAGATGGGAATAATAAAATAATTTTGATCAGAGATTTCTTTATTTGAGCTGAGGAATATATAAAAGAACATAATTTGATAAAAGTAATGCCTGGCTTAAGGCGAGTAGAATAAGGAAAACAAAAGATTATTTACATAATGTACAAATGTTTTGAGCCGGCCATCGGGAAAGAACAACAACGAGTTTTTATAGGGGAAGCATGACCTCTGGCGGTCGATATAACAGTATTTGGATCTATGAAATATAATTTTAAATAGAATAATATTTTAATATAACATATATATATGTTTTGAATCTATTCATTATTATATATATATGTTTTGAAAATGGAGCAATCCATAAATAAATCTTTAATATAAAAGGCATATATTGGATCAAAATATCATTTATTTTACCAATATTTCAGTTGGCTCAACGCCAACCTTTATCAAGGTATTATAACATATTTGACATATTGACACATATTAAATATGTTATAATACCTTGATAAAGGTTGGCGTTTAGCCAACTGAAATATTGGTAAAATAAATTATATTTTGATCCAATATATGCCTTTTTAATTTAATATATATATATATGGAAAATCCGCCGGGAGGAAATTAATCCACAGAAGCAATGGGCGCCTTTCCCGTCAAAACAAACGTCAGAATCCGACGCCATCCATTGACCGTCGCCGCAACTAGCGGCATCGGGTCGGTGACAAAGCCACAAACACCAACTTTGGCAAACCGATAAGCGTCCACCTAGAGACCATGGTTTCGGGCTAATGGCCCTCGTCAGTCTAGGGCGGACTTTTTTCCATGAGATCCACGGCCATGACGTCCGCCCTAGACTGACGAGGGCCATTAGCCCGAAACCATGGTCTCTAGGTGGACGCTTATCGGTTTGCCAAAGTTGGTGTTTGTGGCTTTGTCACCGACCCGATGCCGCTAGTTGCGGCGACGGTCAATGGATGGCGTCGGATTCTGACGTTTGTTTTGACGGGAAAGGCGCCCATTGCTTCTGTCTCTCTCTCTATATATATATATGTGTGTGTGTTTGTGTATGCCTGCGTGTGTTTTAATATATATAAATTCATAAACACACTACAATTATTAAATTTATCTTTTGATCATCTCTTAAAACAAAAACAACAGAAAGTTCAGATTCAGAAAGGATATCTGGCTTTTTATGCCTATAAATACCATCTTCCTCATCTTTATGTATATAATAATCACCTCTTTTTTTTAAAACATAAAAATATAATATGCAAAACAAACAAGCGACTCAAAAGTTATTTTACTTAGTCTTAAAATATATTTTAATAAAAAATTACAACATTTTTAAAAATATATTAACGAATATATATTTTGAGTCAAAAGGCGATTCATCAAATAAGTTTATATAAAAAGGGCGTACCAGGATCTGTAAAGAAAAAAATATATATATATATGTTATATGAAAATATTATTTTAAATTATAATTTCATAGATTCAAATACTCTGTTAAATCGACTGCCAGAGGTCATGCTTCTCCTATAAAAACTCGTTGTTGTTCTTCCCCGATGGCCGGCTCAAATCTTTTGTACATTATGTAAATAATCTTTTGTTTTTCCTTGTTATATTCGCCTTAAGCCAGGCAGCACTTTTACCAAATTATGTTATTCATATATATTCCTGAGCTCAAATAAAGAAATCTCTGATAAAATCATATTTATTATTATTCTTTCAATATTCATCCCACGATTGCTCAACAAATATCTCTATTCTCAAAATAATCAGCATCAAGTATTAATTCTATATAGCTCTAATAATCAAAATACAACAAAAATCTAATTAGTTTATATAATATATATGTTGTACACTA